CTCTCTCTCTCTCTCTCTCTCTGCTGGAGAAAAGACCAAAAGTGATCTCGTTAAAAGTAAGTCACTTGAGTTTTAAATGCACCTTTTTTCTAGCTCAGTGAGCACCACAAACTAAACAAGGATTCAGCTCCATTGTGTTAAAAAAAAAAAAACATCTACATGGTTAGACCCTACTCGAGGTACATAAGAAAATTAGTTTTTTTGGTTGTAATTTGGCTCCTTACAGCGAGATGCTACTTCTAAGTAAACCTGGACCCGATCATGACCTAGATGACCTAATGATGTAAAGCGGGTCAATGGCTGCCTTACTTCTGTTCAAACTACAGTCCTGATCATTAGTTGATCCACAGAAGGACTGGGGCTCCAGAAGGTGGTCCTGAAATGGTCCAGCAGCACTTAACGGTGCATTCAAACAATTCAGCCATTCAAATAATCAGCAGGTAATCGATAATGGAACTAATCATTAGTTGTAGCCCTTCTAAATATACCGTTTATCTTCCAACACTTTGTAATGTGGACTTTTTCCAAGTGGCTAACAAGATATAAAGTGACTTTACGTCATTGAAGTTGACGAGGATCACCTGAACTCTGACCGCCATGTTGTTGTATGGCGGGATACTGTTGGCCGCACAAGATTCAGCACTTGTGCGCTCAATTTAGAAATGCTTGCTCCTTTAAATGCAGACTTTTAAACTCAGTTTGGAGTGAACTTGTTTATTTCAAACTTTCTCAAGAAAAAAAACAAATGAATCAACGACGACATCGTCAGAACAGAATGAGAATGATCCTTGTTTGTATGAGGTTCATCTCCATAGTCTGTTCTACTACAGTACATGGAGTTTGTAGAAACGGACAGGAGCAAAGCGATGTACTGCTGTGGACACCTAAAGGAATCGATGTCAGTTCAAGTTTACGCTATATGTTTTATAGCTTAACCTCGCTGTCAGACGGCCCTTTCCGACGGGGAACTGAAGCTGGTGTTGATGCTTTTTTCAAAGCCACAAGACTCCTTTGACAAAAACAGTAATTTTACCTCACAGAACTGCCTCGATCGGTTAGTTGGTTTGTGTTATTGTGTGACTTTGATAAACCCAGGCTAACCCGTAAAAACACCAAAGTCACTTAATAACAAACTAGTTAACTAAAAAATTACAGTTTTTGTCAAAGGAGCCTCGTGGCTTTGAAGAGAGCGATTTAACGGCTTCTACTCCCCGTCTGAAAGGTCTGACGGCTCAATGAAGCTGTGAAAGTATTCTAAATATAGCGTACACTTACACTATATATTGTTATTTCCAGGTGTCTAAAGTAGGCTTAGCCCCGTCCACAGGAGTACGCTCCTTTGCTCCCGTCCTGGTACTCCTATTTCTATAAACATACATCGTAACACACAGACTATGGATAAGCACCTCGTACAACCCCACTTTAAACCCTCTAACGTCCCTCTACAGAGCTGAACTAGGCCCACATTCTGGATCCAGGTAGCTCCCTGGATGTTCTCTCCCGACAGCCACAGTGTTCGGTTCTCAGACTGGTCACTCATTGGCTCCACACGGTCCGCCCCACCTCGGCTCGGTGGAGACCACGTTTTGCTGTACATACTTTGCCTGTGCGCCGTTCCTTGTAAGATAATAGATGGTCTGTTCTCTCTTAGTCCTCTTGTAAAATATAGTGTTCTATTTTCTATATGACGGAGAGGAGGAGAGATGCTGCTGTGAGCGATGTGTGGACCGATGAGGTTTCCGCTGCCAGTTCGTCCACGGTTTGCTCCTTTTTGTTTGGAGATTCCTGCAGGCCGTTGACTTTTGTGTGAAGTAAGACCAGCGAGGAGCCCGTTCACCAGGAGAATGTCCCAGAACTGTTGCAGAGAGACTGAGTACTGCTCACACTCAGCCCTGCGGCGCACGCCGGTGAAGGAGTTTATAAGCTTTAGTTCCTGGTCACTTTGAACATCTAATGATTCCCCTTTTTAGACGCAGAAAGTCAGACTCAAACGTTTATGATAGATCCTTGCAGATCTTTTATTTATTTGTAAGTAAGTTGGAAGCGGCTGAAGTGGATGATGTCCATACTCTTCAGTCTGGATTTGTCAAACTTTTAAGATGAAATCTTCAGATTGCTCTAAAGCGAGCAATAAAACACTTTTACTAAGCGACTCACTTCTACTTACAGCAACGTGTGATCAAGAGATCCCACCATTGATCTCCTTTTACAATACGTCTGCCATGTTCTGTGAAATCAAATACATTTATAATATATCAATTTATAGATGGGGATGAAATAATTAGAAAAATTACTGAAATGGAAAATTAAAACAAAACTAAACTGAAGCATGAAAAGTGATTGTAAAACAAAATCACCGTGATATTTATTTTAGTTTGATCCCCTGATAAGGAAATATTAGGACAATGAACAGACTAAAACTACCTGATTCTGAATTATACGCATCATGTCCCAGAAGATGAACATTTTTAATTCCTAAGAAAAGTGATCGTTTGGATCTTGGGCTGTAAGGAGTGAAAGTGACATTTTTTTACTTTTTTAATCTTTAATCCAAAATGTGACTTGGATCAGTTTGATAAATCCGTGATCTGATGAGACGGGAGATCCTACAGAGTTGGGTTCACAGCCAATGCTTCCCTTTCTTTCGAGCTCTGTTAACGACCTGGCCTCCTGATGAGCTATGAAGAGCCCTAGTTCCTCACGTACAACACAAAGCAGCTGAAGCCACCAAAAACATTTCAAGTATGTTCATATTTTGAAGTATGTTCATATTTTGAATTGGCCTCCATCCAACTTACTAACACAGTTTACTCTCTTATGAACTCTCAAGCTGAAGGTGCAAGAAATACATTTGTTTTAAGAAAAAGGAAATGCAGTGATCGATGTGGAAAAGCTCCTTTAAACCAGCAAGGATTCGAACCGTGAAAGACATCTACTTTTATACAGTGAAGAGTTGGAGAGCGAGTTTGAGTTTTATGGTTCACATGTCAGATGGAAATCCGACTGATCATGTAAAAGTGTATTTTGTAACATAACATCTTGTGAAATGCTTCCGTCACCAGTCAGAAATGTCCAATGATTTGTAAAGGTCGCCGTGAAACTGGAGATGCACATAAAGAAACAGTCGGATGAGAAAGAAATTACATTTGGTTCCATGAAGTTTTTTTTAGTGAGTCGGCACTTTATTACCGTTGCCTGTGTGTACCGATCGTGTCCTAACGAGTGCTGATGTGCAATCTGTGAAAGGTCAACAGCTCATAGAGGCGTTCACCAGTGGTCCGGTTATTAGATTATGGTCTGAAACTTTAGTCGACAAATGTTGTATCCTCTACGATAACTTTAATGAACATACCATAATGATTCAAGAAAACAAACTAATCAAGTCTTTACCTCACCTTATGGTTGTGCTTTACATTCAGCCTTGGAGACATTGGGTGGGATCAGAATTACTGTTTGAGTTCTTTTTCTGCACAAATGTCGGCATTAAAACTTTAGTTTTGGGTCACAAGAACTTCTCAGTTTGCCAAAAGCATCAAATAGGATGTAGTGTAACTGGGATGACTGGTACATACTGGCCCCGCTCACTCCGGCTCTAATGTGGGCTACTAAATTACTAAATGTTCTTTCAGGTACTTTCCTGAAGTTGAGCAGCTGTTGTTGGACTCCATTGTGTGGGGGGGGGAAATAACACCAATTAGATCAAATGCTTTTCAGACAGGTTGTGATCTCATTTAAAATACAGCTTGTGTCTAGATTTTAAACAGGCTTTTCTGGAAAAACCCCATAATGCAGCATCTTGATCATCACAATGATTTATTTTCCTTTACGAGCTGGACTCTCCTCTGGAGGCAGAACCAACAGTCTGTCACCAGATGTGTTTTCTCACTATGATCTGACAGCATTTAGATATCAATGATGGTAAAAAAAAAGCCTCTACGAACTCTTTGAAACAAGATGAATCCCCCCGCCTGTGTTGGCAGTAAGGAGAGATCAGGCTAATGTGTGTTGATGCCCCCCCCCCAAAAAAATAAATAAAATCATTCCACTGAACCCAGTGTGCATCTGTGTTCGGCACTTGTGGCAGAATCTGTTGGTTTTAAAATGTTGGATCTGCATTCTGGAGGTGAATGTGGCTCCTTCCATTTCTCTGTTGTACCGTTACTGTAGTATTGCTGTAACATGAATGTTTTCTAAGTTATTAAAACCAACATCCCAGGCATCTCCTCAAAAACACGCTGCGTCTTTGCCTTATTTTAAGTCCTGATATTATGAGTGGATGTAAAATTAAGGTTACATTAAATATCTTATGATAATTATTATTATAGTTATTTTTATTTTCTATTGTAATTAATAAGTATTGTATATATGTAATAATTGATATCCTGATTTAAACAAAATGTTTATATTAAGTAAATATTTTTGTCCGTTTTAATTGGTCTTTTTATTTTATTTTAATTTTAAACAAAAATACAGACTTTGAAAGGCACGTGAGGGCTTCGAGTATTGTTTTACGTTTTTGTGCATTTTATTTTGAATGGCTCCACCGGAAGCTTGATTGACTGACTGACTGACTGACTGACTGACTGTACCAAGCTTTAAAGACAGACACAGTCATGTGCAGTCTGTGCTGTCTCTGGTATGAACATGTACACTGCCATCTGCTGGTTACAATGTGTAACTACAGCGTTTAGAAGTTGGTGTGGCTGCTATGGATGCTGAAGACAGAGTACGTCATGAAATCGAGAAATCATTTAAATTAAATAATTATAATATAGTTAAAACGACTGAACACAGATGTATGCACGATGTTAAATATATTGTAGAAATGGTACGTTTACAACAAATATTGAGACTGTTCTTTAAGACCAATTTAAACTAGATCCTGCTCTACATACCCCGGTACGGTAGGTGGCGGTATGCACCTGGAAGTTGGTATTGCAGTCAGACAATAAAAAACAGACGTAACACGAACAACGTTTGTAAATGATGGTCACGTGGCTATTTTTTTTTTTTTTTTTTTGACGTTTTGCCTCGATACATCTTGCCGCGATATTTCAGCCGTGAAAGGTCGACACTTCGCGAGCTTCAACAACAGTTTGCTAACGTGTTTATCTCGAGACCTTCTCACCGCTCGTGTCGGTTTACTGAACGGTTCCGACTGGTCCTGTTAATCCCCGGGAAGAAGCGCACAGCCCGGCTCTCAGTTTATCTTTCTTCAGCTGCGGAGCGTTAATTTACTGAAAAGGTTATCCCGGGTGAAATTAGCGAGCTTTTGTGGCACGAAATAGGTCACGCAGCGTCTTGTTGATAGCGGAGTCTGATTTCTGTCCTCTCCCGCCGCCTCCTCCTGCGGGTCCGCAGACGTTAACGGTCACACGGACGATGGTTTTACTAAGAAACATCCGTCCGCCCACCGAGGGAGTGCGGCACGAGCAAGCCGAGACCACAGTGGTGATGGACGGCCATAAGCTGGGCTGCGGCACGCTGTACGTCGCCGAAGCGTAAGTGATGCACGTGGCGCTTGTTTGTGTCCTTAAACCACCGTGTTCAGTTTTAGAGTCGCGTTTAATCAGTGTTTAATACAGAAAATGCGTTTAACTTTACTAATATACAGGATAGAAAGTGTAATAACAGACAAAACACGGCCACTCCTCGAGCTAACTACTTCCGGAGTAGTCACTTTCAAAATAATTAGAAATTATTTTCTTTTAATTTACTTAAGTACAAGTAATTATACAAAACTGCAAAAATACTCTGTTACAAGTTAAATTCCTGCATTGAAAATGTTAAAATGTATATAAATATAATAACAATACATTTACTTTAAAAGTAGTTTTAGTCAATCGGCAGAAAATGAATGTTAAACTATTTTGATAGTCTGTTTTTCCCATGATTCCTGCTACTGTCAAACGTCATTAAAAGCACCTCACATTATGTGCTCGCACCCTTTATGAACCAACAACAGCTGTGCATTTATTTCCGTGCAGGCGTCTGTTGTGGTTCGACGGCTCTGGGATGGGTTTCTCTCTGGACTACCCCACCATTGGCCTGCACGCCGTCTCCAGGGACGTCAGCGCGTACCCAGAGGAGCACCTGTACGTCATGGTCAACGGAAAACTCACAGGTGAGTGACACAAAGTATAACATTTGATATACATGATAAGGGGCCAATTGATGAGTTTTTACGTGGCCTGTTTGAAATCTGCTACTTGCGGTTCCTTCATCTAAAACACATTTTATTATTTTGTGTGGAGAACTGTTCTGTTATGTTTCTGAGGGAGTTTGTGGGAACTTAACCTAACACACGCAGAGACTAAATATTGACAAGCAACGTTTTTATGAGCAGGTCACCAGTTTGTTTGTATGTTTACATGCAAACGTACAAAGTGGTGACCTGCTCATAAAAACGTTGCTTGTCAATATTTAGTCTGTTTGGTGGCTCATTCTCAAAACTGTGTAATATCATAGACTGTATATAAGAAGTGGACGTAGTCATCGTTGCATCATCCTTTGGTTTGTGGACTGCCGTTATGAAGCCTCGAGTTCTGCGACTTCGGCGTCGCCATCTTGGATTACGGCCGTCGCCATGTTTTTTTTTTTGGCAACCAATGAACAGAAGTTGCCATATTTGGAATGCGGAGAAGTGACATAGACACGCTGTGTACGTCTCTGGTAGTGACCTGTCAATCACAGTTAACCCGCCCTAAAGCATACCCTGCTTTATGGTCTATTTGACTCTAAATGGACCATAACTTACTAAATGAACATCATGCTGTATTGAAGAAGACTTGAAACTAGAGATTGAGACCATAAACTCATGTTCACAATGTTTACTGAGGTAATTAATCAAGAGAGAAGTAGTCATTTTCTCATAGACTTCTATACAATCAGAGGAGTCACCCCTGCTGGTTAGGAGAGAGAATGCATGTTTTAAGACACTTCTGCCGTGGCTTCATAGGGCAGAACCGGAGGTTGCCGCCTGGTAATGCACACAGGTTCATGTGACACCAGGAAGGGAAGCTTCTAACTGCTTTGTTTTGTCCCGCTGTCATCTCGCAGGTGAGAACGGGGCCGAAATGGCAGAGAGAGCGGCAGATGAGGAAAAAGACGACAGCAGTAACAGCGGCGGTGATGATGATGACGATGAAGGAGTCATCACAGAGATCCGGTTTGTGCCCAGTGACAAGGTGGCATGTGAGTGATCGGATGAGAGTCAGACCGATTCTGGTCCTTTTACTAAAATATGTAATTTTTAGTTTTTTACTGCCTGAGCCAGGATCGTATCTTCATGCTGATCAGTTATTTATGATGTTTCATGACCGCGTCACAGCTCCACAAGTAAACCACGCGAGTGATCAGACAGAACGCACGTTCACCAGATTATCAGATCCTCGGGTAAAACCAAAGATAACGTTAAAGTTATTGTCCAAACAAGTTGTCTTAACAACAAGAAGAGGCTGAAGTTTCTCTTACAATTAACAGGAATTATTCTGCTATGAACACTTAGTTTCCTGTGATTAATGCATTATTTTAATGATATGATATTTTATCATCACTTTAGTAACGTTTTTATTCCGTGTATTTTTATCTTGTATATTGTTTGTTATCGTTGTTGTTCGCTGCTGCTGGCTGGCTGAGGGCTACCAAACTAAGTTTCGTTGTATCACTACAGTGACAATAAAAACCTCTTTATCTTTATATGATATTCAACACCAGGACAAAATATCAGAGGAAAATAGCTGACTAGATATGCAGTAGGTTTGGTGGTGTTTTTTTTTTTTTTTGTTTGTTTGTTTTTTCCCCAGCAGCATTGTGGTAAAACATAAAATACAGTCGGGTTCAATATAACATTTGAGGACGTTGTTTCGAAGCAGATACATGTAACGCAGGAAACGGAGCATAGTGAGTGTTTACACTTTCAATTACAGATTCTTGAATTGACCACAGGGGGGCAGCACTGCCTCTAATGTCAGTGTGTGTGTGTGTGTGTGCGTGTGTGTGCGTGTGTGTGCGTGTGTGTGTGTGTGTGTGTGTGTGTGAGAGACAGTGGAGTCCATGTTCTCAGCGATGTGCGAGTGCCAGGCGCTGCATCCCGACCCAGAGGACGACGACTCCGACAACGACTTTGAAGGAGAAGAGTACAACGTGGAGGAGGCGGGTGAGGAAACACACACACGCACACACATTCTCAGGTTATCAGTTTGTGAGCTACAGGTCAAGAGTGTTGTAAGACATTAGCCTTTTAAATTAATCTTAATTTCCCAATCTGTACAATGAACTCTCAGGAACAGGAGCAGCACCGATCCCAGCAGACATTGGGCGAAGGCAGGGCTCACACATAGTGAACTATTAACTCATACAGTAAAGAAATAAATAGATTTCTGTGTCAAAAAATGAGGTGAAGTCTTGATTACAGTTTTTCAAAAGATAAACATAATTATATAATTTTTTTTTGATGAGTGAATTGAAAAAGCTGTCTGACTATAGAAACTTGTAAAACATGAAAGTGAAGACAGCTGTATTGTGAGCAATCTGTCAGACTACCTCCTACTACTTCTATCAAATATACTCATACATATACTTCTGTATCTGCTGCTTGTTCTACTCGGGATGTAGTGAACATAGAGTACAAATTGTCTCGTCATCATCAACAGAAGTAAAGCAGCAAAGCGAGTTTAAGGCTGCAGTACCACAGATCTATTCTCTCTCGTAACACCACCCGCTGCACCACTATGCACATACATATCTAATCCCCATTGTATAGTTTTATCATCCATACTGTTGATCCTGATTCTGTATAGTATATATATTGTATGTCTCTTGGATTTGTACCTTATTGTTTTTGTTTACTTTTATATTTGCACACCTCACTTTGTGTTAAACCTGCTGCACTCTGCTCTCCTCTTCTACATTTTGGAGAAGCAGAACACTATAACAGGCTGTGGACTGACTTCAATAATATGACGTGTTCTGCTTCTGTCTGTTTGTCTCCCTGGTCCTCTGGACTGTGTGGTTGCAGAAGCAGGTAAGCTGTCCAGCATTTATCACTGCACATGAACACGACTAAACGCCTCCTGTTCAACCTTTGCAGAACAAAACAGATGATCAAAAACACTCTGAACGTTGGCACTGAATGCTTTTTCAGATTTTTTAGGACTTTAGTTTTTAGGTGGAGCCCCCTGCTGGTCAATAGAGAGAATGCAGTTTAGGGCTCTTTATCATTGGCTTCAGTTTTCAGAACCAGATGTTTATCACACCATCTGGTGGGTCAGGTTACTTTAACCTGCCTATATTTATATGCCGTTTTTAAACATTAAAAATGCTTTAATTGTAAACAGAGATCAAGTAAAGTTTAGCTGTATTCTCTACCAAGCACATGTCTGCTGTTTAAAGCCTGCCTCTCTCTCTCCTCCACCACAGAGCACGGCCACGCTGACGTCCCCACCTTCTACACCTACGACGAGGGTCTGTCGGCGCTCACGCAGGAGGGCCAGGCCACGCTGGAGAGGCTGGAGGGGCTGTTGGCCCAGTCGGTCGCTCAGCAGTACCACATGGCCGGGGTCCGAACCGAAGAAGCCAATGGCGAATTCGAAGGTTTGAGTCAAAACACACACACACACACACAGCAGCCTGGTGATTGTAGCAACTGGAGATGAATAAGAATGGATCATATTGATAATGAACTCCAATCTTAAGTTCAGAGCATTTATACTGCACCTGCAACGTGATGACACTGATGGAAAATATCTCTATCATTTACTGTTTGATTAATGAAGCTTGTGCATGACCTTAAATTGTATCATCTGATACTCGCTATTAGTTCTTCACTCCAACATGTCCTCAGATTAACAGCGGAATATTCAATATGTTCATTAAAAAGACAACTTGTACATTAAACGTGACTTTTTTTAAAATTCAAAATTAGGAATATTGCTTCTTTTTGTGATTTAAATGTTTATTATTCAATGAGTGATGCCAGTTCTTCAAGGCAACATTCCAGACCTTGATCACACATCTTGTAGATATTGGATTCAAAGCTCTCACATCTGGGTTTGCCAAGTGATGCATGTGCCCGGCTCCTGTCTGGAGCGACTGGGCCGGTGGGCTCTGCTCTCTAGCGGGAGCGGCCCCTGGTTTCTCTCACCTTAAACAGTTCACCCAAGTTTGTCATCAAAAGCAGTTGAGATTTCCTCCCGCACGATGTCATTTTCCCCGAGTGAATGCGAGGTCCACTGTTGCGCTGCAGAGTCTACACGGCACAAGAGAGACCGGAGCTTGTTGTTTTTAGGGAGAAAAAAATAGTTTGAGGGGATTTGAAGTTTAATCTTTAAGCTTAATTGCTTGAAAAGCGCTGTGGTCAGCGTTCTTTGCTCTCACAGCTTGCCACCAGCTTGGGCTGCTATTTATTTATTTTTAATCTGGGTCGAGTGAATAAACAAATATTGCGGTATTTGATCAGTAGTCTGCAGTGTTTTAACTCCACCTTGTAGTGTCGGCTCCAGCTCACTTGGAAACTCGACCAAGGTGGTACAATAAATACGTACCAGATACTATCTGCAGGATTTGCTCATGGAAAACCAAAGTAGAGCCGTGCTGTAGCGTGCATAAGTGTGGCATAAGGTTTTAATAGCAGCCCCATAATCATGTTTAAACAATGGAGGGTCCAACACACCTCTATACATTCAGAGGAGTCGCCCCCTGCTGGCCATTAGAGAGAATGTAAGTTTTAAGACATTTCCGCATTGGCTTCACTTTTCAGAGGTTGACGCCTGATTTACAGTTAAAAAATCGTAGAGAGAAGGAAACGTTTCCAGCGCTCAATAGTTTGTTTGAATTCTGTGATAAACTGAGAAATTTAGCTTGACCGAGATCTGAAGGAAACCCAAGACTATTGGAGGCTTTGTTGTGTTCTGTTACACATATCTGCAGTGAAAAAGAAAAACACAACAGCTGATCTCACTGGATTTTGTTTATGGGATGCTGTTAAAATTGAGTGTGCTTGTTGTCGTTTGCAGACGGTATGGAGGTGGATGCAGCAGAGCTGGAGGCCGGTCAGTTTGAGGACGCAGACGTCGAGCACTGGTAACGACAACAGTGAGACTTTAACGTGTAATAAAATATAACACAAGCAGCAGCAACAACAGAACCTTAAAATGATGATACAACCTCAAAACCATCTTTTTAAACACACGAGTGATGAGAATGTGAGCGGTCTGGTTCATTCACGCGTTATCTGACTCTTTCTGTAGATGGAAGGCGTCTCAGCGGCCAGTTGAAGCACTGATGCAGTGTTGCATCATGGGATTGGAGGAGGACAGCAGCACTTCTCTAAAGCTCTTACTTGTACTCTCTTCTCAAACAAACCTTTTCCCCATGTACTCATCGTCATCTCTCTAGTCTTTTTTTTTTGTCGCTTGCTACATTTCCTCTCGTTGTATCAGAGCTCACGTGTTGCATTTTGTTGTTTTTTCTGCTCATATTCATCTCTACTAATTTGTCCAAACCATATGAATAAAGTTTGCAGTAAACAGTCAGATCAGCTACTGTAGACTATTGAGATGCAGCCCTGAAAGGCCAGGTCCTGTTGTTAACTGTAAAAACAAAACTCTGAGTTTCTGTTTTCTACCTAACGACCAGTTTAATATCAGATTTTCCTGTAGAGGAAAACGAATGTCTTTGTATTAAAATGTCAATAAATGCATAGTTTTTGTATCACTTTTGTTTTTGTTCAATTTATTCTGTTTATATCGAGGGTTAAAAGCCTTAACCAACAATATGTTATATAATACAATACGAGGGGGGAAGGGTGGTGCAAGTAGGGCTGTGCATTGGAGAGAATCTGGCCATACGATGCGTAGCGTGATACAGGGGTTACCATTTAATATAGATTTATTTTTTTAATCTTAATTTTAGGAACATTTTAATAGTATAAAGAACACCACCATATGCATAAATCTAAGTAAAATGTTTATATGCAATCCCAGCAGTGGCATTTGCATTTCTCACAGTCCCTGTAACATGAGACATCATAGCGCTACCCTTTTGTGCAATCTGAGCCACCGGCTGCTACCAATCTTTGCGCGTAAACAAATCAAAATCAAAAGTTTTTGAGAATCCCTCAACGTGGCGACGTAGGACTCAGTAGCTTGTAGCTAAAGTTATGCTTTCCACGTCTACGAGTATGCGATGGTCCCCAAGACGTAGGTTTTGTCATAAGAGGGTGTACGCAAAGGTTCTGTACAGACATCCATGTACCGCCAATATGTACACCAAAAGTGGTAGCATAGCAACCTGCGTAATGTGTGTGGAACGCGTCCCACAAGTGGACCAGTAGCACTCTGCATGCACATACTGTCCGTCTGTGGGTATAACTGACGCTTAAAGGAGCAGTGTGTAGGATTTAGGGGGATGTATTGGCAGAAATGATATATAACTATGTTTTCGTGACTGTATAATCACCTGAAACCAAGAATTGTGATTTCTTTAGCGTTCTTTAGAATGAGCCCTTAGGGAGCGGGTCCTCTTCACGGAGTCCACCATGCTGCACCGCCATATTGCTATGGTAGCCCAGAACGGACAAACCACAAAACTTTCACGTGTTTTGTGTTACCTGAAGGCCACCGTAGTTCTCTGACACACTTGTGGAGCGGGATTCAGTCGGTTGCAATTTGCTACCTCACTGAGCAATCAATCATTATTTCAAAATGGGGTCCGTCAAGAGGGTTTAATCTGCCTTTCCAGCTTTTTACAGAGAATTCAAAGGCACCAGTTGTATCTGTGCGTACATGGACCCGTGTACTGTACATTCCTACACTGTGCTTGTCACATTAAGTATAAACACAAATTAAAAAAGATACATTTTCTCTGTTAAGCACTTTTTAAATGTGTTATGAAAAGATTATACAAATAAAGTTTATTGCCATATCATACTCGGAACATCCAATTCTCAACTTTCTACTATACATATTTCGGTTGATTAATTAGTGAATTAGCTCCAGTAAATTGTTGCAACTACAATATTTGTTTGCAGGATTGAGATCGACATGCTGTAATCTGCCTAAAAGTCATGCAAGTAGGGCAAACCCTTTGTTAATGTATGTTTCACTGACAGATATTGGACATTTCCAGCGTGTCATTTCAACAGTTGCAGAGGTGATTTTGGCTCCGGGGTGGTGATCCGAAAAACAGAAGTGTTGATGTTTCTAAAGGATTTTTAAATCAGATGAGTGAAAACTAAATGATTTTTACATGTTTGACCAAGTAAAAAATTGGTCAATAAATTTGCGCATGCTTTGTAAATGAGATCTATCTTACGAAGAACACTAAAATGAGACGCTAAGTTAGTTTTCTGTTTAGCTTCTACAATGTGCTCTTGAGGTCTTGAAGTCTTAAACAAAAGAAAGTGCATATCAGTGCTCTGATTATTTGTCTTACTTGTGACTAGAATCAGCTGTGGTTTAACAGTGTGTCAGTAAACATCCACCACATGTGGTCTGGGTTTGAAATGTCCACGTTGCTCATGTCCTCTTCTTGGTCTCTAGGGGGAGATGGAGAGACGCAGACTCCCCCGACAGCAGAGGGACGAGTTTATCAAACAGCAGCACTGAGCTCATCATACCTGCAACCGAAAACACAGAGAAGAGGAGCAATGTAAATATTTAGAGAAGATTGGATCTGCTTACAAACTTTTTATTTTTTTTAGAAATTGGCAGATTTTAAAGAAATAAGAACTGTACTGTACTTAAATCTATATATTATTCTGAAATAGGCCATTCTGCATAATGAGTACTTTTACTTGTACTACTTTAAGTATATGCGGATACTTCTGTACCTGCTGAAGTAAAGCAGGACTGTTACTTGCAACAGAGTACTCTTACTCAGTAGTATTGCTGCATTTAGTCGAGTAAAAGATGTCAGTAGTACTTCCACCTGTGGTTATCTGTATATAAACTTAACTGCCCAATAAAATAGGGTTTATAAAATAGGGTAGTGTATTAAGTATTATGTTACTTAAAATAAAAAAAATAAGTAAATTACCTCAAAATTGTACTCAGGTGCAGTATGCTCATGTAACGTTCTGTATTCATGCTCAGTTTTTGTAATTTCCTAAATATTTGATGTGTTTGTTCCAGCTGCCGTCAGAGAGAACGTGCTTGTTAGAATTTTATTTAAAGGGAGAGTGTGTAACTTTTGGGTGGGGGGTTACTGGCAGATATTGAATATAATATTCATAACTATGTAATCACCCGAAACTAATAATCGTATGCAATTTATATCTACGTAGGTAGCCGGTCGTCTTCCACGGAGTCCGCCATCTTGCACCGCCATGTTTCTACAGCAGCCCAGAACGGACAAACTTAAGACTGGCTCTAGCGAGAGCCATTTGTATCTATGTGAATGGCTACTGAAGGTAGGGATGCTTTCCGAAACCCGCTATTAAACGGGCCCCAATGCTAAATAATTAAAGATCGTAGTATTGATAATAGCTGTACCGATATTGTAACATTTCACATTTGTTTCCAGTAAACAAAGACTTTATAAAGTGACTCTGCTGTTGTAAACACAACTGTTGCTGCTCTTAAACAATATTTAGATACATCGAAATTATGAATCATTTCTAATTCTTAATTCATTTGTTTTTAAAATTGTATATACTGTATCTTTTTAAAAACAATTATTTAGTCATGTAGAAGAACCGAGTATTGATAAGAGTAGCCCCTAGTTGTACTAAAATCCTAAAGAAACCTCTCCGTACCTGTAGGCCACCGTAGTTCTCTGACATGCTTGGAAAGGGAGGGCCTGAGCTGAGGGGTATTTAGTTGGCTACAACCTGCCACAAACCACTAGATGCCACTAAAAGGTACACACTGTCCCTTTAAGTGATTATCAAGTCTTCTTCTTGTGTTTTATTTCCAAATTATCCGATTTTTTTTTAACATAGAAGGACTTTTTTTGATGAGGAAACTGACATCAATATTGTGTTCGTTTTACAACCTGCAGGTTCCCTGATATCGGTGTGCATGAGTGGGTCTTACCCAGCAGCGGGCTCAGCCAGTAGACCAGGCAGTACTCCAGGAAGGAGTTTCCACTGCAGGAGAACTGTGTGGAGAAGGCCAGCGCCGGGTTGAACACTGCTCCTGTCACACTGCGACCTGGACACACACACAAACACACATTCATGAACTTTTTTAGGACCAAACTTGCAGCAGGTGTCCATCCGTTTACAACTCCTAAACAGACACATTGAATGTGCTCTTAAATTTGTGGTAGGAAGATGAATATTTACATTTTAAATTCACCAATTTTAAAACGGCTAATAAGAGGCTACATACTAATTCTGCACAGGTTGTTGCTTATAAAGTGTGTTCATGCTGAAAAAGCTACAAAGAAGTCAGTATGGGTTAGGGTTAGGGTTAAGGTAAGGGTTAGGGTAAGGTTGCTTTTCTGATCGAGTGAAACAGGATATGAGTGCAAAATGGTATGATTAGTATGTATTATGTATTACGTAAGATCTGTCTGCACATGGTGAGTTAAATATCTTTGAGATTCATCTGGCTGCCTTCGTTGGTTGGTTAGGTTTCGTTATGATGAGTGAGAACGTTTGGAGATAGAATAGGTGGGAATACCTTTGCCATAGTGGGGAAAAAAATATTGCCCTTTGGACAGTACAAAAAAATAGGATAGGTTAGCATTTTTGTAGCCTACCACGGAAGCCTAGTAAAAAAATAAAAGGTTGCATCGACCTTAATCCGTGATTTAATGCACCACCCTGTGAGCATGCTCAGTGATCCAATAAAACTCACCTATGATGTTACAAGGGTTGCTAATATGCTAAATGCCAAAAATGCCCACGTGGATCCTGCTTTCACAGAGGTGTATTAGGCCTGTGGGGAGTGGGAGGCTGAGTGGACTGGTTATAGTGGGACACAGAGGCTGAGTGGACTGGTTATAGTGGGACATAGAGGCTGAGTGGACTGGTTATAGTGGGACAGAGAGGTTGAGTGGACTGGTTATAGTGGGACAGAGAGGCTGAGTGTACTGGTTATACTGGGACATAGAGGCTGAGTGGACTGATTATAGTGGGACAGAGAGGCTGAGTGGACTGGTTATACTGGGACATAGAGGCTGAGTGGACTGATTATAGTGGGACATAGAGGCTGAGTGGACTGGTTATACTGGGACATAGAGGCTGAGTGGACTGATTATAGTGGGACATAGAGGCTGAGTGGACTGGTTATAGTGGGACAGAGAGGCTGAGTGGACTGGTTATAGTGGGACAGAGAGGCTGAGTGGACTGATTATAGTGGGACAGAGAGGCTGAGTGGACTGATTATAGTGGGACAGAGAGGCTGAGTGGACTGGTTATACTGGGACATAGAGACTGAGTGCACTGGTTATACTGGGACATAGAGACTGAGTGCACTGGTTATAGTGGGACAGAGGCTGAGTGGACTGATTATAGTGGGACAGAGAGGCTGAGTGGACTGGTTATACTGGGACATAGAGGCTGAGTGGACTGATTATAGTGGGACATAGAGGCTGAGTGGACTGATTATAGTGGGACAGAGAGGCTGAGTGGACTGTTTATACTGGGACATAGAGGCTGAGTGGACTGTTTATAGTTGGGCTGAGTGGACTAGTTATACTGGGACATAGAGGCTGAGTGGACTGATTATAGTGGGACA